ATCCCTGAGGTTCCCCACCTCCTATTATAAAGCTTTCCATATGGCCCTTTTCCAGGACGTTCTCCTCACCAACGCTTCAATATAACACTCTTCTTTCCTCTCTTTTCTTTCTGTCTCCCTCCTTTCTGGTCTCTATGTCAAAAAATTTCAACCTTCAGTAGCTAAGTGAGGTCTCCTTGGAATCAAGAAGAAAGTAAACTGAGTGAACAAAATCCTTCTAACAGGGAAATGACTGATAGCAACAAATAAGAGCAACAGTCGCTACAACTTACTCAGTGCTTATTGTGTGCCATTTAATCCTTGCAGTGGACCCATTGGGTAGATATTTTCATCCCTCTTTTACAGATGAGGAAACAAGGTAGGGCTTAGAATTCATCTGTGTTCTCTGGCTATAAGCTGTACCATCCCAGAAGCTGTATTTTTCATTTGCAGTTTAAAAGATTATCTCAGTCACTCCCCAAACCCCTTCAATGGAAGGACTAACTGGCAAAATGGGTAAGGAAAAGAACAATTCCAACAACATGGAAAGATTTTTAAATTAGATTAGATCAGAGGTTCTTAATTTGGGCTGCATGTTAGAATACTCTGGGGAGTTTCCCCCAAAAAATACCCTGACGTCATCACAAACCAAGCAAATTAGAATTTCCTAAATTTGAGCCCAGAAGAAATTAAAAAAAAAAACCCTTTGGGTGATTCCGGTGTACAGCCAGGGTAGAGAACTACACGGCATCTGTGGAGATGTGTGTGTGAGAGCAGCCCTGGGCTATGTGTGAGCCATTCGCATATCACCCTACAGAGTCACAGTGCTCACATGTGGTGGGTGTGCAATAGATGTATATAGATTGATATATTGAAATCTGGAAAGAGCTTTGAAATCTGGTAAGATGGTGTGCATTGAAAAGTTCAAGTACTATACGGATATGTTGTATAAATATACATCCTTAGTCCCAAGTAAAAGGTACTTAAATAAAAATTGTGCCTTAATTGTGCTAGTTGGGAAAGTCAGAATTTTCTGCCAACCCTTTTACTATGATGCTCTTTATAAAAATATATCTTTATTTTAGTTATGACATCATGAATACCTTCCACAATCCAAAGTGTTATGTGGATGGAGAAAAGCCATTGATGTGTCACAGTGTGTGGTAGTTGTAGCTGCTATCTCCCCTCTCCTCCCCTCCCCTCCTCTCCCTCTCTCTTTCTCTCCCTCTCCTTTCCTTTCCCTCCCCTTCCTTTCCCTGTCCTCTTATTCTTTCCCTTCCCTTTTGTCTCTTCCTTTCCCTACTCAGCCGAGAAATTTGAGAGATACTAGCAGAGATGTAAGAGTTAATTTTATAGATTAAAAAAATGAGTCAGTATGTTTCAATCAATATAATTATAAAGTAAATAGGAAAGAGTTGATTATAGAGTTTGGTTCCCTGATTTCTCAACAAAACAACAACAAAAAAATCAGAGGTTTGATATACTATTTTGTTTTAAATTCTTCCTCTTTCCAAAAAGCACGTGAAGCTGCACAGAACATAATATTTCAGAAATTTAATAACATATAAAAATAAAACTAAAGATCTTGCAAAAGAGGATGTAGCAGTATGATAACTATAGCAACTTAGCAAAATTTTGTGAATTTGAAAGACATTTACTGTGGTTTTCCTGATTGGGGAAGAAACGGTTTAATAGTTCTAGTTAACAGAAAGGAGGAAATATATAGTGATTACTCAGAGGATGATAAGAAACTTCCGCTGTGAGACCTCGCAGGGGACACTGTCAGAACAGCAGCATCCTTGACAACAGCTTCATAATAAATAACGAGTAGTTTCAGTATTGCTATTCCTGGTAGTCAGAAAGATAGCGTGAGAGCCCAGCTCAGTGAGGTTGCTCTTCTAAGGAGGTGTTGGACTTGAGCTGATCTTTATAACATATCCATTGTTTTTCTTCGTTTAGTTTTATGATCCCCCTCCCCCACCCCGTTGCTTTCTTGTAGAGATTTAAGTCACAGTAGGGATGAATGAATTCTGTTTTTAACCTCATACATGGCTTTGTTTTTCCCAAGGCAACTGTTTACGAATAGAGACATTTAGAACTTATGTTTAGTTGCTTGGGATCCTTGCAAGCCTGAGATGTGCTCTGTTCTGTTTTGGGTTTTCATTTTCCTTGGTGACATTCACTGATGGAGGGGAGAGACTGATGGACTATGTAGTTGCACCGGAAGGAGACAGGACCAGGAAGGACTTCGTGTTAATGTTATTGTCTGTGGGCCGGGAACACCTGTACTCCTATGACTACTCAGCTGCAAAAGTAATGGTGGGATTTAGTGCAACTTAGACACGAGTAGTACGGTGACAGGTGTTAGTATGGCTAAAAGAGCAAGAGGTGTTCTGCTTCCAGTGAAAAAAGCTAGCAGAGACCTACTTTCCCAAATTCTCCGAATTGCACATTTGGCAAGTTTTTTTTAGCTTAGTGTTCTACTGGCGTTGCCTGGTCCTCAGAAGTAAGGGCGAGCTGAATCTGAACTTAATGGAGAAGGTGATTTTTGCCATACAAAAGCTGTTTGTGAAAACTTGAATTTCAGTTGTCTTTTTCACTTTCTTTTTGGCAGCAAACATTCATGCTTGAGGACACGCTGCCACTCATTTCTGGAAAGCACCAAATATTTGGTTTTTGTCTGTATTCAGACAGAATCACTTTCAAGTTGTTTCTGTAGATACTAAGCATAAATATTTAGATAGAACACATTTATAGATGATGTAATTTACTCTATCATCTGTGGAATTATGAATTTTCCTGTAAGAGATTGAAAAATTTATTGAGCACTTAGTTTGTAAAAGGCATTATAATAAGTAATAAGTAGGGGGGTACATTATATTATACATGATAGACATGGGGATAGACCACTGTAAACTTCCAGTCTAATTGAGAAGTGAAAATATTAAATTAAATTAGTTAAATTATTTTAAAGTAGAATGTTTTTAAGAGACAAAATTATTCATTGCAGTGAAAATTGAACATGCATATGTTTGGGGCAACATGGAAAAGAGAATATAATGAAGTTAGAAATAGGTTCAGAGCAGGTAGATTTTAAGTCAAATATTGAAAGAGACAGCCATCATGGGTTAGTAGATGACTGAATCAGGAAGGAGGAAGATTAAGATCATGTTTTGAAAGTTGTCTTGTGTTTTCTGGAAACTTCTTGAAGTGGAAAACCCAGCTGATAATAATTTTCATTACAATATTAAAATATAACCAATAAGTTACTTTAAAAATATGATTGAGGCTCTGGTGAATGACTTATTTTATTGCAAGTATTTGAAATACAAGATTGCAGCATGACCCAAATGATAATAATTATTAATTTTCAATTATTTTTGACATGTGTTTTAATAGTATATGAAATATATATATATATATATATATATATATATATACACACACACACAATTTTGTGTATGACCCAGTAAGTTCCTTGATGTTAAGATAATACACTTTTTATAATCTGTGTAAACTTGAATTTCAGTTCTTTCAACTATCATTTATCATCCTCAGTAGTGTGTTCTTTGTGTTTTATTTAAAGCATATTACTTTAGTTTCATGTGTCAAGACTTTTATTTAGAAAGGTATTTTCTTTGCTTCTATTTAAAAACTAAAATTCTGAAATTAATATATTCAGATTTTCTGATCTTTTAAATTTAAAATTTTAAAAAGAAGTTTTAAGTTTATTCTGGATTGTTTTTGCAATATTATTGTTTTTAACCTCTTAAAATTCTTGTTTTTTTTTTTTTCTTTTTAAAAGGCTCTTTAAACCTGTACTAAAACCACCTGGAAAATGGGTCTTCTCTTACTCATATACACAAGATAGCTCTTAATATTATAGTCATATTTTGTTTAGACATACTTCATTGGGACAACTAATTAGCCATGATGAAAAACATTACTCTATGGTTTATCCTTTTTTTTTTAAAGATTTCCTTGGGGAATTGGGGGAGGGGAACAGACAAGTTGCTGTCCTTTTTTTCTTCAGTCTAGTTGTGGAGGATGTCGCTTCACTGGCCCATGTTGGTATCATCATTGCGCTCTTCCTGGGTGAGGCAGTCGCTCACTGGCAATTGGACTGCAGCTCACTGCAGCTCACGGCAGCTCACAAAAGCTCACACCCACTGCCGGCCAGCCCCACTGCAGCCTACGCCGTCCCCAGCGACTCACAGCAGCCCAGCTCCAGGTCGAGCTGTTGTTCAACATCTTAGCTGTAGAAGGCAAAGTGTCACTGGCCCATGTGGGATCCGAACTGGCGGCCCTGCTGCTCAGTGCTCGAGCTCCCAAGCCAACTCTTAACCAACATGCCACTCGGCTGGCCCAGTTTTTCCTCTTTTTAATTTGTCCTCTCTCAATAATCCATTATCATCCATCCATCTACTAATTCTTTTCTTTGTTCGTCAAATATGTGTCAAGTATCCATAATATTCAAGAGAATGAGCTGGTGTGTGGGTGGATGAGAAGGTGCTACAAAATTGCCTACATCATGAGACTTGTGACTGGGAGACAAAGTGGAAAATGTTAATCTCCATAAGTAAGGGTTAAGTAACATGATTTAGGAATTTGTAGATAACAGTAAATTTCCAGTTCATAGGGAGTTGGGGCTGAAAGTATTCAGAAATACTTTCTCAGTTAAGCTGACCTACTGAATCCTTGTTCTTTTTACTCCTTAGCATTTAGTAAAACAAATATGATTGAAGGTATCTGTTCTCAGCTGAAAATGCCTAAAATATGCTTAGATTTTCAAGACATTTTACATTGTTAGCATTTTTATTTTTGTAGTTAAAATACAGATATCGTTAAATACTCATTAAAATGACAAAAAGTATGAAGAGCTATCTGCTCTCAAAATGCATGTTTTTTCCTTTTCTTACTGAAGAAACCTTAGTTGCAATGTTGCCACATTTTTTGAGAAATTATTATTGTGATCTTTGCTCATTTTTCTTTAGTTTAATATTATAATACATTATTTTCAGAGGCAAAATCACCAAAGGCTTGGAGGAATTGAAACGTGTTCAACCAACAGGAGAGACATACATTCATGAAGGACTAAAGCTAGTAAGTTGTTTTACATTTATGAGTATGGGAGTGAATGTTTTCTTATTCTGTAATGAAATAAATTATAACTCTCTAGTAAAAGTCAAAGATCCCATTACATGTTTATCTTAGAAAATTATTTTTAGGCTTTTAGTTGTTTTAGGGGTGAGACTGATAGAAAATGTTATTTATCATGGTAACAAGAAAAGTTTAGATGCGTTTTCCCTTTTAAGGAATATTCCATTTTTTCTGTGGTTGTATTCAGACTAATCAACCAAAGCTAAAAATCTATGTCATTCACACTCAGTAGTAACTACTGAGTTACTCTATAATGTACATATATGCATATGTCAAATAAATAGTTACCATAAATAGTGTGTTTTCAAAGCCAGTCCATAATATTTTGATTTTGTCAGACTCACAAATTCATCTTGATGGAAAATGCTGGTGAAAAGTTAAGATTAAATTGTGAGTTAAATAATTATTCTTCATTTTCAGGCAAATGAACAAATCCAGAAAGCAGGAGGCTTAAAAACCTCCAGTATCATTATTGCTCTGACAGATGGTAAGTTGGACGGTTTGGTGCCATCATATGCAGAGAAAGAGGTGAGTATTGAACTGAAACTGTTCTTTACACCCTACTGTACTTTGCTGTGTGTCTCTGCATGTATAGCCTGGTGTTTGAATAATTCACCTCTCTCTCTCTCTCTCTCTCTCTCTCTCTCTCTCTCTCTCTCTCCATAGGCAAAACTATCCAGGTCCTTTGGAGCTAGAGTTTATTGTGTTGGTGTCCTTGACTTTGAACAAGCTCAGGTGAGTACACATGATCTGAAAACTTTCATCTAAATCACATAATTATCTTAAGGGTAGTTTATCAAATTATTTTCACTGATGACTTATTATGACACTAACCAGTTGTTAAAGATTTTCCATAAAAATGGCCGTATGTCTTGTATGTCTTGATTACTAATGTCTGATTTTGTTAGGTTTCATCAGTGAAAGCAAAACTCTAAATTCCTTGAACATTCATTTGGTTTGGAGGAACTCATATAACTCAAATAACATGAGTACTCTTGTTCTTTAACTTAACTGACAGGAGTATTATGACAGTCTTATTTAGAAGTTTGAGTTTGATGTAAAAACTGGACCCTTAGGGTTATAGAGATTTGGGAATTTTGCTTATGAGATATCTTTTTTTTTTTTTTTTAAATTGGAGAATTGGGGGATGGGAACAGCCCGGGGAATTGCAGGAAGGGGAACAGACAAGTTGCTGTCTTTTTGTTCTTCAGTCTAGTTGTGGAGGATGTTGCTTCACTGGCCCAAGTTGGCACCATCATTGCGCTCTTCCCAGGGGAGGTAGATCAGTCGCCAGCTTCTGGACGGCCGCTTACTGTGGCTGCTGGCCGCTCACGCTGGCTGCTGGCTACACACGGTAGCCCATGGCAACCCACTGCAGCAGGGGCTGCAGCCTACACCGTCGCAGGTGACTCCCGGCAGCCCAGCTCCAGGTTGAGCTGTCGTTCAGCATCTTAGCTGTGGAGGGCAGTGTTACTGGCCCTCATACGTGAGATCCGAACTGGGGTCCTCTGGCGTCCCAAGCCAGCTCTTAACCAATGCACCACTCAGCTGGCCCTGAGATATCTTTAATAATTTTCTTTATAAAAAATAATATTTTTCATGAAGTTTTAAGGCTTTATGTATTAAAAACATTTTTTTTCCACTCACAAAGTGATTTTACATTTACATTTTTGGTTGAACATGACTGAGACTCCTGTGTCTCATGACATTTACATACAGCTCATAGAGCGCTGCACTGTTTTTAAATGGAAACTTGAGGCCAGTGTAAATGGGCTATGGCTAATCTCAGTTCATTTCATTGTGATACATTTAGAGTAACATCAGTACCATCACCTTCGATTCCTGACAGGCTACACTAGTGAATTAATCCTGTAGTGTAATTTTTTTCAGAAGGACATAATTGAAACTTAATGAAGTTTATAAAGTGTTATATGTCTCAACCAACCCTTAATTAAATTTTCCTCCTTTTCCTAAAGCTCGAAAGAATTGCTGATTCCAAGGAACAAGTTTTCCCTGTCAAAGGTGGATTTCAAGCTCTTAAAGGAATAATTAATTCTGTAAGTATTTCCCTGGGAACAGGAAAGCCTCATAATTTTAGATATATTTTAAACTGTAACAAGTAACCTTGATATCCAGTTCAGGTGGTCATTATCTTGAAGAAAGAGATTAAGAAGGAAGTTTGTTTGGTATTATGAACACAGTGTAATTCTCAAGATCTGGATTTTGTTTGTAAGTGAGGCTTGGTATTAAGTCTTTCAGACTGAGCTCTGTGAGACTGGGTTTGTGGTTTCAAGTTTAAGATTTTCATCAACAGTGTTAGAGACTTCCACTTTGTGCGCGTGGAATCCCTCACCGTCTTGATACCTTGAGAGTTTTATAGGCTTTATAGAATAAATGTAAAATAAAAATTTGGATTGGAATGTGTGATTACTCCCTCTTCCCAGGTTGGTATTTCCTAGCTCTCAGTCAGGCAACTTGAACCAGTGGCTGAGCATTTGACTGCTGTTGTTGTTCTTTCCATTTTAATGATTAATAGTTTCAGTGGAGCTCATAATATCTCTGTTTTGAATTCAGTTGAGCTGTCTCTGCTGATCATTAGAATCTGGGCTATCCTGAAGAGGGTATGGGGAAGTGGAGTGATGAAATGCAAAGCAAAACTCCCGGGCTTTCACAGCTGAGGTTTATGTTTCATTTTATTGCCTTTTGCTAGAAGCACTAGGAACAGTTGCTATTAAGTATTTATGATATTTTGGTAAACATCATCCTAAAATGAAGTGAATAATATATATTCTCTAAGCCAAAGCTTTTCCTTTAATCTTTAGGTATTTATTGAAGGGGGGGGCAGGGAATCTCAGTTTCTTCTGACATTTGGTTTTGGCATTTAAAATTTCTCTTTAAAGATCATGTTTTTCAGAAACACAGAGTGACATTTATTAAATTTGGTTTTACTGTCATGTAGGCTATTTCTCTTTTCTAATTAATAGAGCTTTTCAGAGAAAACATACGATTTGGTCCTATCACATTATCTGTACTTCTGGTGGACAGGCCAAATGTAAATGTAGAATAGAACAGGGATTTAAATATTTTAGGAGTTTACATATATTATTGTGTTCAGTTTTTAGGAAAAAGTGCAATGTAAAAATAATAAATATTTTTATAGCTAGATTCAAGATAAATACTCTACAACTGTGATTTGTTTTCAAATATAGGAGAACAGATGGACAGTACAAAAGGGAAGATCATTTGACCCTATAAATAAGTAAATCAGTGGATTGTATTTTCAATAGAACTTTATTATGCTTGGAAATTTATAGTTATTTTTATAATTATATTGGGAAGGGGAAAAGTCCTCTGGGATATTACCTTTGGAATTTTATTTTCTATATATAAAAGGTTTAATTCAATATTCTCCAGGTAACTAATGGCCTTTTCAAATGCACCTTTTATGGGTTATGACTACAGATTTCTCCTTCAAGAAATTAGTAGTTGACTATCAGAGGAGATAAAGTTGTTGTTGTTGCTTTATTATATTTATTTGTTAAATTTTATTTTTTAAAAATTGTATTAGGGAAACTTTAGAATGGAATTTCTAACTACAGCCTTTCTTACCTGAAGTTCTTGATGGACTTTAGCTTGAGTAAGTTATGTTAAAAGGTTTAGCATGATACTAGATAGATTTGTTATTTTAGCTATAAATTGCTAAGAAAGCCTCTTGAGTTTCATCAAGTAGGGGCTGATGATTATAGCTCTCATATCAATATAGTTAAACTTCAGCTATTTTGTCACAAAAAGAGGAGTAAGTTATCCCCAGGGAAGCCAGCCTCTGGGGAAACCCTGGCAGTAACATGGCCAAGTTGGCAGGTAGACAAAACGGAGCCTTTACAATCAAAGTGATCCCACTAATGGCTGAGATTTTTATCGACATGATGATGGTCTGGGTTTTTGCCCATTTTGTAGAAATTTAAGGTGCTTCATGCACTTTATCTCTCCACAAGGCAGAAATTGCTCCACTCAATATAGAGAAGCTATAATTCTGCCTCAAATTTGAATTGCACTTTATATTTACAAAGTACCATCTTGTGTTTAAAAATTATGTTTGGTATTTAAAACAAATATAGTGTATCTATTTCAGAGTAAGGTCAGAGATAAGATAATATCCTTCTATTTTTTATGATTTATCAAACTAATGGATAAAATTATACCTGTAATGTATTTACACAAAGCTAAGCAAATGGAAGACATTAGAAAATTTAAATCTTTCAGATGTTTGGTATCATGAAGGCAAGAATATTTGCTAAATTGGTAGATAATTTTTTTTTTTGTGCTAGAAGTTATTTAAATATGTCTGGCCTTAGAAATTAAAAGTACATACATTTATTTGAGGTTATTCTATAATTAAGAAAAAATGATAGCATGGTTTTCTTGTTTTCTTTGTCCTTCCTCCCCTGCTCACCAAAATTTAGTAACCTAGATGATCTGGTCCCCTAACTGTATAAGATACCACAGTTTGTAAAGACATAGTGTTATCGAACAGAAAGAGTTCATCCACCGGCCCTAGCAGAGCCAAACACTAAACACCAAGGATTGCAGTGGAGAAATATTGGCTATTTTATTATGAATGGCGCCACCCAGGAGAATGGGAAGCTAATGCTCAAAATCCTGAACTCCCCCATGGTGTGCAGGATGCAGATTCCATAGGGCAAAATCATAAGACACTGTGGGTTATGGGGTTTGGGGCTATGTTGGGAGCCGACTGGATGGAGGTGACGTAAGGGTAATGAATCATTTCTTCAGGTCTTGAGGACAGTTCTGAGGTCTGTCTGTCCCACCTCAAGGGAAAATAGCCAGGGGGTTGTTCCACTTTAGGGCTTAGGAGCTGAAACATAACTTAGGTCAAGATGTTATCTTGAGCCTGCAGAGGTTCAGACAGACCCTGAGACCATTAGTCAGGTCTGGGCTACTGTCTTCTGCTGCCTCGGGGGTTGCTGATTAACTGGGAAAAGGCCAGGTGTCTGAGGGGTACATATAGAGAGATATGAATTCTAGGGCTAGGATTTAAAACTAAATTTAATCAAAGTCATAAGGACCCCCAGTTTCAATTGTTTGTTTAGAATCAACTTCTTAATCAGCAAGGATAGGCATTTACATTTCGGAGCCTGTCTTTGTTGCAATTACATTCAAAAAGAAACACTGTAGTAGTTCTGTCTTTTATAACTTCAAAAGCAAGGGACTGAAAGGGCCTTTGTAATGAATATTTTGCTTGTTAACAATTTCATACCTTTTGTAAAATTTATTTGATTTAGAAAATCATTTTAATGCTCCATTTCAATTTGGAGACATATATATTGTTTCAAAATTTTTAGATTTCTATCCAGACAAACCTTGTTTTTGGAATATTGGTTTAATCTCCAATCTTCATTAATACATATGAAAGTTTAAAATTTATTATTATCTCAGGTAGGTACTGGTGAAAAGCTTTCCCTCTTTTTCATCCTTCTTTTACCATTATCGAATTTTTTATTTACTCATTTATTGAGCTCTTACTATGCCTCAGGTTTCTGTTAGGCTTGGAAGAGGGGACACACACTTAAATAAGACAAATTCTCTGCTGTAAAAGGGGCTTGAAAATAATGGTAATTTGAGATTTGGAATATGATGGTCTCCTGTAGGAATTATAAAGTGTGGGGTTTGGAGGAGGGAAATTTCAGTGAGTCACCCCATGTGATAAGAAGGAATCCTATAATGCAATTTGTGTTAAAATGCCAATTTGGTTCGAGTAAAGTTGACAGAAGGATGGGATAAGTTTGGTTATGTGAAGTCATGATAGGCTTTTTGTGGTGGGATTTGAACTGCACTCCCATAATTGGAGTAGATTTAATTAGAAACAAGGAACACAGAACTTTAGGAACAGCCTGGGCTGAGTTGCTGAGGCACAGGAGGGAGTGTGGCTTGGCTTGGATTGTGCAGGGATGTGGGGTATAAACATTAACAGGTAGGCTGGATCCAAATTATGGAGACCCTCAAATGTTTGGAGGGGATATTGCACTTATTTCATAAAGAATCAGGGAACCATGGGATATTATTAATTCAGAGCATGAGATTTATATGATAGCAGTGAATGTTCAGGAAGAATACTCTAATGGTAATGTATAGGATAATTTGGAACATGGAAGGGTGTGTTATAAATCTCTTGCAGTAGCCTTTGAGAGACATAAGGAGACCTAAGTAATGGAGACAGTATGAGGCTGGGAACAGGAAGACCTGAGTGTGAGTTCCAGCAATGCCACCACCTAGCCATGCGACCTTGTGTACATCCTATACTGTAATCTCTCTGAGTTTGAAAATCTTCATCAGTCAAATGGGGATAATGGCATCCATTTCATTGGGTGGTTTTGTGAATTAAATGAGATAATGATTAAGAATGATTTAACTCAGAAGGTCTGAGCCTTAAAACATTTGGTAGGAAGCTAGGAATGGTAGGAAGCTAGGATTATGTAGGATGGGGTTATTAACCCGTCAGTAGGGCAGTCCGCTGAGAGAGATGGCCAGTATTCTAAATGACCAATGACTTAGGTCTAAAAGGGCGTGGAGTTATCGATATGTGAGAGGATCAAATCTAGCAAGTGGGTCATAACAAGGATTTCTGATGGTGTAGTGACCCAACATTAAGTATGTGTCTGCGCCGTAGTTCCAAATCCTCAGGCCGTGGGACTAGGTCCCAGTCAACAACTGGGAAAGGGGATTCAGTATTCCCAAGACAAAAGCTAGGAGAATTCCAGGATCCTGCATTCATAAAAGAGCCACAATTCTTGTGCGGGAACCTGTAGTCCTAATTAGTGACTTAGAGTAGAAATCTAGTTGTTAAGGGGGAAACAGCACCCCTAATGGACCATATTTCCTCAGGGCTTATTTCAGGCACTGGGATTCTAGGTCTTTTGGGATAAAAGTAGGTCAAGAACCTTAAGGGAAATGACTAATGAACTCTCTGCCCTGGTCAGAACCTTGTTGGAGACAGGGTGGGGCTCAACCTCTAGTGTAAAACTGCTTTGCTAAGCCA